CATGATACAAGGTGAAAAAGAACATGGACTATGCTGGTAAACTATGATGGTGATGAGACAAGTAAAGGGCAACCTTTGAAGGTGTTATGGTATCTTCCGATAATACCACGATTTAAGCGCTTATTTGCTAATGCAACAGAAGCGAAGAAGTTAAGATGGCATTTTGATGAGAGAATATCAAATGGAAGATATCTTCGGCACCCTACTGATTCTCCTCAATGGCAGAAAATAGATGAAATGTTTCCAGAATTTGGTCTTGAACCAAGAAATCTTCGGCTTGGGCTTTGTACAGATGGAATCAAACCTTACGGTACTCTTAATAGCACACATAGTGCATGGCCAGTACTGTTGGTGATTTACAACCTACCTCCCTGGTTATGTATGAAGCGCAAGTACATGATGCTTTCTATGATGATTTCAGGACCGAAACAACCAGGAAACAATATCGATGTCTACTTGGCGCCTTTAATTAAAGATTTGAAGATGTTGTGGGAAGAAGGCGTGGATGTGTTTGATGCATACAAGCATGAGTCCTTTAAGTTGCGTGCCATGATCTTTACAACGATAAATGACTTTCCTGCATATGGATATCTATCAGGATACAGTGTGAAGGGGCATAAAGCATGTCCTATATGTGAAGCAGACACATACTTCCACCAACTTAAGCACGGAAGGAAGACAGTTTACCTCGGTCACAGGAGGTTTCTTGATCGGTTCCACCCATACCGGAGATTGAAAAAGGTTTTTAATGGCTCACCAGAGCATGGTGTAAAACCCTTAACCTCAAAACATTATAACTCATCATAAAATCACTATTATGGTAGAAAAGGAAAATCTGTTAAATGAACTACCATAGTAGGAAGAAATTTGCATAATTTTGAATTCACATTTAAACCGTTGCATGCAACTGAAATCATTCATTCAATCATAATCCACTGGGCCTCCGAGCCTCTGGCCCGGGTAACAACATACATCCAAAAATCAGCCCATCCAATTTGTTTTCCACCAGGTATAACAAAGTTCCATAAAACAATAGCAATGGCCTCTGGCCAACTAAAACAAGGAGGTAACGTATCCTCCAATTTACAATAGATCAACAATCAAAATATCACAAAAGACCCCTAACTGTGGCAATATACAACATATTCATACATAAACAAAGGCTAGAGGCCTAAAGCTAACCAAGCTTAAGCCTCTGCGTCTCTTCCCGAAGGCGCACGCCTAGAAACTTCACCTGAAAACATTGTAAACCACGGGGTGAGACAAAGTCCCAGTAACCAACCTTTCCAATACTAGGTACTACTAAATAGGTGCTCGTGAGGTGTCAAGTGGGGCAGTTCACAAGTAATATAATAACAAGATAGCCACAATAAATCATGCGAGTGAAATGATGCAATTCCCATTAACCAAATCCCTCACTTTGGGGGATTTTCAGGAGCCGAAGCCGGCCTATCCCTCACTATGGGGGACGTAAGGAGCCATAAAAGGCCTATCCCTCACTCTGGGGGACGTAGGGAGCCAAAAGGCCTATTCCTCACTATGGGGGACGTACTAAGCCAACCATCATGCATTAATGGAGGCCTTACCACGTGGTAGTAACAGACAAATCTCTCACCAATTCCCAATCAATGCATCATGCTCAAATCATAATCAAAGAGTAATAATCATTTCACAATTAACCTCATTCAGTGGCATATCTTTCACAATTTCAAGATTTCATTCATCATCAAACAAAACCCCACAAGACGGTTTTCTTTTTTTTTATACACAACATATAGTTTGAACACAATTACTACTTGGAGCACCAAAACACAAATCTACTCACAATACCACAGAAGCAAGTACTAAGGATTGGAAAGTGGTTACCTCTCGCCTGAGCAAGGAACAACAAACCAACGATGTGGCCCCGTGCACCACCAAGACTCACAACCGGTCTACACAAGCACACAAACACACAACCATCATATATTAGCTTTCAAACTAATAATGTGGCCAAAAACAACACTTGGGGACACAAAATTCCTATCTCCCATCAAAACTCTACCCAACTCAAAGGGTATAACTATCAAGGCAACACTCCAAGGTCATACCAATCCATTAAAACCTTAATTCCTTTCCAAACATCAATTAGAGTTCAAACCTCAAGGACCCACTATAGGAATTCAACCTCCAACATCCCATTTGAGCAATTAAGGTTCCAACAACAAAATCTAAACCGATTAAAAATCCAATTTAACCCTCCTTAACATAACCCAATTCACAAAACTCAGAATCAACCTCTACATTATCATCCTCAATCCCAAATCATCCATTTCCATAAACCCTAGCTCCAAAAATTCAAGATTCTTTAAATCCAGAAAAACTACTCCGATTAAATACTTAAACTAACCCAATGCAATCAATTAAACTCAAAACAATCGGTCAAAAACCTCAGTTTCATCACAACCTAGAAAAGCCTAAGGTTTCACCATAATTCCTTACAAATTCCAATCAAGAAGATAGATTAGAGGTTAAAATCACTTACTTGAGGTAATGGATCCTTAGAAATGCCCCCTCCAAGCCAAAATACCGAAACCCTAGCAGAGCCTCTCTCTCTACCTCAGATTTTTCTAATTTTCGCACAACTGAACCCTCCAGCGACTATATAGAATCGCGACCTTTCGCCGCGGCGAACCCCAATATTCGCCGCGGCGAACTAATCCTGAGAGGGATTACTCGCCTGAAAACCCGACTGAACTCCATCTTCGCCGCGGCGAAAGTGAACTCCAACTTCGCCGCGGCGAAACCTTCCCGAAAGGGAAGCCTCGCTCACCAGAACAACTTCGCCGCGGCCAAACCTTCCCGAGAAGACACTCCCCCCTGAAACTCCCGGTACGCCGCGGCGAACATACCCTGAGAGGGGTACATTCACCTGTTCCTCCAACAAACCTCAAATCCAACCCAAACACCAAGATCAAGATTAAATCACTAATCTATCCTCAAAATCAACCCAAAAGAGGCTATTAAAACCCGATAAAACTCAGGATGTTACACATGGCATGTCTCCGAAGGCATTAACTGGAGAGGAAGTTTAAAAGCGAGTTGAAAGAATCAATGTCATTTTCGGTAAGACTCAAAAAGCTGCAAGTGAGAAAAACATATGGAAGAAGAGGTCTATTTTCTTTGATCTTCCATATTAGCGCAGTCTTGATGTAAGACACAGTATCGATGTGATGCATGTGGAAAAAAATGTGTGTGATAGTCTTATCGGTACTCTTCTGCACATACCTGGAAAAACTAAAGACGGAATTAATGCAAGACTTGATCTGGCTGAAATGGGCATTCGAGAGCGCTTACATCCACAATTGAGAGAGGATGGTAAGCGGGCTTATATGGAACCTGCGGCCCACACATTGTCTAAAGTCGAAAAAACAAGCTTATGTCGGTGTTTGCATGACATCAAGGTGCCCCAAGGGTATTCTTCTAATGTGAAAAGGCTTGTCTTGATGCACGATTTGAGGTTAGTGGGAATGAAGTCTCATGATTATCATGTACTAATGCAACAACTATTACCCGTAGCTATTCGAGGCACAATGAGAGATGATGTGAGGAGCACTATAACTAGATTATGTATCTTCTTCAATGCTATTTGTAGCAAAGTCATTGACATAGAGAAATTGGACGAATTGGAAAATGAGGGTTATGTTATCTTATCTCAACTAGAAATGCACTTTCCTCCAGCATTTTTTGATATCATGGTGCATTTGATCATTCATTTAGTGAGGGAGATAAGGCTTTGCGGTCCTATTTTTCTAAGATGGATGTATCCATTTGAGAGGTACATGAAAGTCTTAAAAGATTATTCTAAAAATCCTTATCGACCTGAAGCATCAATTGTTGAAAGGTATGTAGCGGAAGAGGCTATGGAATTTTGCAAAACATATCTATCTATAGCTAAGACACCATCTCGGCATGAAAACGGTACAAGTAAAGGAATCAAGGGGCTGAAGGTAAAGAGTATGGGTCGTGAAGAAGTGTTACAAGCGCACTTATACATATTGAATAATATGGAAGAAGTGCAGTCATATTTAGATGATCACAAAAAAAGTTTAAAAGAAAAGTATCCAAAGAAAAGTGATATGCAAATAGCTAATGAGCATAACAAAACATTTATAACATGGTTCAGTGAAAAAGTTTTGAGAGAGGCCAATGTATCTGATACAATAAAATGGTTAGCTTGGGGTCCTTGTTTTGAAGTTATCACTTGGAGTGGATACGACATAAATGGATATTCCTTCTACACAAAAGCTCAAGATGACAAAAGTACTGTGCAGAATAGTGGGGTAATGGTGGTTGCTGAAGCGATGCATTTTTCGAGTTCGAAAGATAAAAACCCCAAATTGGCATCTATGGCTTATTATGGAGTTATTGAAGAGATATGGGAGGTAAACTACACCAATTTCAAGATTCCTGTCTTAAAATGTAAATGGGTCAACAACAATAGTATTGAAATAGATCAACAATTTGGATTTACATTAGTTGATCTTGGCAGGGTTGGTTATGCAGATGAGCCCTTCATTTTAGCAAGCCAGGCAAAACAAGTATTTTATGTTACTAATCCAGCAAATAAAAAATTGTCTATTGTCCTTCAAAGTAAAAAGCAGAAGGACAGTGATCCTACCATGAATCTTGATGAGACACCACCTTTTGCTTCAAATCCGCCTAGACCAAGTGAAGTAGAATTGGTAGATAATGATGAATATGTTGCAAGAGATGATCATTGTGAAGGGATATGGGACAATGCATAAAGTCAGATTAAGTAATGTAATTTTGCAACATACCTTGTGTTATTTTCTTTTATTTATTTCATTGCAATGTACTTGATATTATTTATATATTAATACATTTCACTATAATTTACTTATTTATCTAATTTTGGTTTTTCAACAGGCACATGGAGGAGGATTTTGATGCCAATATGGAGGAAGGCTGTGATAGAGATATGTAGGAGGATTATGACATCGATGATGTCAATCAGCCGGAAGGAAGGAAGGTTAGAGGTAGTACAAGGCTACCAAAGTTAGCAGTACGTCATGGTCGTATTCAGAAGAAGCATGTGGATTTTGATGCCAATATGAATCCAATTGGTGAAGAGAAGGACAGATTCATTAGATATATAGGCTCTGTTGCCCGAAGCAAAGTTAATATTCTATGGCCTAATTGGAAGTCAATTTCTAAGGAGACGAAGGATAGGATTTGGGAATATATTTTGGTATGTCACTTTCTAATTTTATTTCATTTGTTTTATTGTAAATATAGTTATAACTAAGATCTTTAACTCAAACATATATATTTTTCTTTGTAGCAAACGTATGACATCCCTCGTACTGAGCAAATGAAAAAGCATTTGTTGCAGCAAGTTCGTCAGCGCTGGAAAGATTTTAAGCACACACTCACGAGCCAGTATGTGCGAGGGCCTAAGAAAGATGATGATCCGTGCGAAAAATACTCCTTCCTTGATCCAGATGATTGGAGGAGGTTTGTGGCATCACGGCATGATCCTAAATTTCAGGTACATTGCCTTATAAAACATTTAATTTTGATTTAATTTACTTCACTTACTCAATTTACTTTGTTTTCTTTTCCACAGGAATTAAGTGCGATGAATAAAGAAAGGCAAGCTAAAAATTTATATCCGCACTATTTATCCCGTGGAGGTTACAAGATGCTTGAGGAGAGGATCATGTAGAATGACTTTAAGGCGATGCAGGAAGCTGCAAAATCTGATCCTAGTATCGTTATTTAGACCCCACCTCCTCCTCCACATCATAGAAAATGGAAGGAAGCAAGGATGAAGAAGGGTCAATATATTAATCCAGCAGTTGCTGAGATTGCTAAAAAAATTGTAAGTTGTATAATTCAAATAACTTTAACTTATGGTAATATTCCTTATATTTTATCATTAATTTTCATTTGTACTGTCATTAATTTTTTATCATACTTAAAATGTTATAGGAGGTACTTGAAGAGCAAAGCAATGAAGGTTCATTTAGTCCAAGTGGAAGGATGGACATTTTAGCGACAGCGATTGGGAAGCCTGATCACCCCAGACGCGTTAGAGGAGAAGGGAGGACAGTTGGTCTTACCCAATATTTTGGACAAACTTCACGAGCTTCTCTACAAAGTCAGCCCACTGATGAGATGATAGCTAAACTTTGAGACCAAGTTCGTGATGAGCTTCAATCTGAGCTAGAGGTCAAGATTGAGGCCCAGTTACACCAGTCACTTCGAAAAGAGCTTATGGCTGAGCTTCGTGATGAGATGAAATCTATGGTCTCTAGCATGCAAATTGGGACAGTTCAACAACAATGCACACCCCAGGTTTGTAATCAATTTCACTTAAATTGATGTTGAGTTTTACCAACGTTTTTTATTTAATTTAATAATTGCATTTCTCTCATTTAGGATTCCCCCGTCTTTCCTAGCACTAAAGACAGTTGTAATCCACCGGGGGCATTAGGAGAGCATGATCCTAGTAGTCCCACGCCGGACTTTGGACAACCTTATTGTCTTTGTTTAGAGGTCCCAAGGATGCGTGTTGTTGCTGACGCTCTCCTCTACAATCAAGGGAGCACTATCCATCACCAACATATTCAAGAGGACCAAGTGAGGGTTACAGTTACGACTGTTTGAGAGGGAGAGACAGGTGCGGATGTGCCATTCCCGACTGCTGAAGTTGTGAAGTTAGGTCAGGCAATTGGAACTTTCATTCTTTGGCCTAGACACCTTGTTGATGAGGAGATAATACCTGTGATGGTAAGAAAATGTTATTCTATATTGTGTGCATTTTTTTAACATAATACTTATAATACTTATTATGTTTATTTGATATTTCATTAGGACCAGAATGATGTTAATAGATATCCCTGCTTGGCACAATTATATGAGGAATATAAAACAATTAACAAGGTCGACATAAAGATGCCTGTAGGGATTGTGGGTGAAGAAAAATCATATTTCTTTGAACTTGACAACAAAGACATTAGGGATTTCTTATCCTTGAAGGAGTTGGACATAGCATGGGTTCAATTAGCAATCATGTAAGTTTACTTTTTCATTTCTAACTTAAATTTCTAATTTCTTACTTTCACATACTAATAATTATCTTATTTCAATTCAATGATAGCCTCTTCCATAACAAATGCATGTCATCAATGGAGAAGAGAAATTTATATGGATATTTATGCCCTGCAAGTGTCCAGAAGAAGTACAACCCACTAGATAGGAGAATCAGATATGTGGGCAATACGATTGGAGACACTAAATTACCTTGTTATTTGGCACCAATTATTGAAGGGCAAGTAGCTTAATTATATTTATTTATACATACTTAAATTGTTAAGAATTATTGTGATATCCAGTAATGTATAAGTCTTACTCTATGATGCAGTTGTCATTGGAGTTTGTGTGTTTCTTGTCCCATTGACAATGTCATCTATTGGTTTGATCCCTTGGGTCGTCGTCCAGGCAGTGAGATGAGGGGCGTTTTCAACACGTAAGTACCTTAATGTAGATCAATAATTTTGTTTTCAATATAAATTATTTAACTTGTGCTTTCATTTGCTCATAGGGCTTTAAAGACTTATTATATAACTGGTGGGAAGCGTTCCGGCAAATATGGCTCAACAACTTGGGTATATCCTAGTGTGAGTACTTTAAATTGAAGTTCTTTCATTGATGGCAATTATTTTATATATGAATTTGGATTATCATTTCCTTATGATTTGCAGTGTGCTAAGCAACAAGGGCCAACAGAGTGCGGATATTACATTATCCGTTATATGTTTGAGATTATTGAGAGCAGATGTATTACAAAATTTGATGAGGTAAGTAAATATAATTTTAGTTTTGTAATAGTTGAATTTTTAAATTAAATTGTTACTTATTTTATTTTCTTCCTATGTTTAAATTTGTTCATTTGTCAATTTACAGATTTTTGATAATGATTGTTCATATACTATTGATGACATTAACTTCATCCGAGACCTTTTGGCACAGCAACTGCTTCAAGAATTGTGGTCTAGGGACTGATCAAGTTTATGTTTAAAGACAATAGGATCAATATTGACTTTTGTAGTTTGTTCTTCTTTTTTGACTAGTTAGTTAATTAATGTGTCTATATAGATGAAGTTATGATGTTGATATGTCTTGGCTGAAAATATTGACTGGTTCATACTATTTCAACTTGCTGGAAAGTGGCTATTATGGTTATTGTGGCTGTAGGGGAAGTAGTATATACGAACTGAATCTTCTTTTAAAAAAAAAACAGAGGACATTCACGTCTGTTCAGCAAAACAGAAGTAAAAAATCGATTTTTTTACTTCTGTTTATCTAAAACAGACGTGAATACTACAACTTTTCTCGTCTGTTCCAAACAGAAGTAAAAAGGGGGTACTTTTTATGTCCCTTCTTTTCATGTCCCCTGCAAAACAGACGTAAAAAGTCATGCAAAACAGAAATAAAAAGTCTTCAATGTAGTAGTGAGAAATAATCTCTCTCACAGTGGTGTCCCCAGTTCTGAGAAATAAATCCTCTTTTTGTGACATTTTAAACTTGTCTTTTTACTGTTACCTTCATTAAATATATGCCACTTGTTATCTCGTTACAATAAATTTTTCCTTGTTATCTTTTATATACACTCTTTACAAACAAGGATATAATTGAATATATATATCTTACACACTCCTTGGTTCTGTTTACAAGGTAGAAAGAAAAGAATTTTTTTGCTTCTATTTATAAGTCACCTTATTAAATCTTTAGTATGAATATACTATTTTGTCTTTTATTTATTAAAGTGTAGAAATTTATTTTTTTTCCTAAAGGTGTATCTATTAAATATAAGTAAAATTGAAAAGTTGTTATATTTTAGTGGAGTTAATACAGTTTTAATATTTTTCTTAATTTATATGAAAGATGCTAAAAGTGTCTTAAGACTATTTATTACTTTTAACTAAATTTAACTAACATTTTTATCCAGGTGAGTAAATGGACGGGTGGCAAATGACATTATTGACTCTATTCTTTCTCTATGGTTTTGCCAGCCCCCCGTCAAAAAAAGCTGTGCAGAATGACGTTTATTCAGCCATTGTGAAATGAGTAGTGCTCCATTATAATGGCTTGGTTTCTTGAGCTACGCAAGTTTAATTTCATGTTTTCTTTTGTTTTGATTGCGTTATATATTTTTTTTTGTCGTGTTTTAAAAAATTTCGTATTTGCGTACTGAATATATGTAATTTATACGTGCAATATGACAAATAATTTGATCTCTTATATATACTTCTCTGATTTTATTTATAAGGCGCTTTCAATATGTCTCATACAAATTTTAAAAAAAATCTTAAACTATATTAACTCTCTATTAAAATATAACAACTTTATAATTTTACCCATATTTAATACATTCATCTTTAAAAAAATAACCATCTATATTATAATAAATGAAGGACAAAATTGTATATTTATATTAAAAATTTAATAAAGTGACTTATAAATAGAACCAAGAAAAATTTTCTTTCTCTATCTTATAAATAAGACCAGAGGAGTATTATTCTTGAAAGGGATCGGATGCTAATTAATAAGCTGATAAGTACGCTCTATAATATCCAACGTTGAAACTTAAAACTTGTAGACCCAACATTTCATTTTTTTTAAAATCTCCTTTAAGCTACGCATAATGTAGTTATCAATAAATAATATATAGTTTCCAAGTGATGCACTCTAGTTGTTTTCATCGAAAAAAACACTGTGATTAAAACAATAAGAGTGTTATTTAAGTTAATATGTTTTGGAACCAGTTTCGTTACTTATTGTAGTAGTGAGTACCATGATACTCATTGTTTTGATAAAATATACATCAAATACAATTTTAATGGTCTATATTTAAAATTTTCAACTAATAATTTTCAAATAAAAAATTATTTTTTAAAAAACTGGTTCCTTATGTTTTTTGTGAGCCGTACCGTCTGTACAGATACATAATATCGTGTATAAATATGAAAGAGGGATATATAAATAATATTATCTGAATAATATGGCTTATCATTTGAGTGAACGTATACTATGGAGTACTGACCAAGATACGGTGGACATCCAAATTTTGCACAACTTGCAATATTGAGGATTTTAAAATAATTATCGATAAGTATGGATTTTTTATTTTAACATAGGCAATCACCTTATTATTATTATTTTTTTGGTTGCCAAAACCTTGCTTACACGGGTCAAAAAGGACTTTGTACTGGGGACTTTTATACCAGTTAAAAAAAATCAGTGTCAAAAGTGTTATAATGTTACCAACAAATAAAAATTTGTCCGTTGGTAAAGAGTTAACTCATAATATAATCCACAAGGTCATGAATTTAGGTCCCGCTATCGATATGAAAACCTTGTTAGTAGACGATCTGTAAGTATATCTATAAGCACTTTGAGCCCAAAAGCATGCCCTAGTCTTAATGCACTACAAAAAAATATGTTAATTCTAGCGGTTAGAGTGTTACATTTCTAACGGTTTTAACCGCAACAAATCAAATTTGTAGCGGTTAAGGAAACCGCTAGAAAAACAGGTGCAAGAAAAAATTTCTAGCGGTTATCGCAACCGCTACACATCATGGTCAAAACGATAGAAAATTTCTAGCGGTTAGAAACCGCTAGAAAATATCTGAAGGAGACACATTC